GTGTGACTATTATGGAGAATCAAAGGAGACAATTAATTTCATTTGAGTTTTTTGTGTAAACATAATATTTCGTGTTTCATAGATAGCTGGCTGTAGTGATATATAATAAAATGAATTTGATTTATTAAAAAGATGTAGAGGAGTGATTTAGGAATAGCACAACTAGGACTGTAAAAAAACAAAATGCTAAAGCACTAACATAATTGAGACTAGTATAAACTGAGTAGAAAATGATATCTAGCTCAAGTGGCAAGGTTAAGATCACTTAACTTCAAGCTTGGCATTTCACCTTTTCTTGGAAGCGAAGCAGGTAGCATCGGAATATTCTTACTTCTTTCCAATCAGTTAGATTACTAGGTTTATCTGGCAGTGGATTACGCTCAATATTTATATTGATTTTTCTATTAGTACTGCACTGAGTAGCTGTGAGGTCTAATTGTCATTTCTACTTAATTTACTTTCTAAGTTCCATCACCCTGGCAGAGGATGACAATGCAATCCTCACTTGTCGTTAATAAAAACAAAACATAAAGTTCAACCTATGTGATTGGGTCAAGTACTATTTACCTTTTTAGTTTAGAAAGATACGACCTCCTCTACTTTCGTGCTACGCTTGTCGCTTCTTGTTAATTTTAGATCATCACAAGAAGGTAATTTAAAGGTAATTTAAACTAACAAGTTCATAACAAAACCTGCTGCAGTTTATAAAAGAAAAGGACATGGTAGCTCTTTATCAACAAATAAAAGAAAAGATGAGGCACCCACTCCCATGCCGCGCACCCATTCCTTGATCACTTGCCAACTTTACTTGACCATTCTCTTTGATCCCTTAATTTAAACTAACCGGGTAAAATGTAGTAACCCATGCTTTTTTTAAATTCTCTGTACCTAAATACCCTTAGACAGAATATCAGGAAGGGGTGATACTGCTTTTATCCGTGTCTGACTAATAATATCACTATTCACACTAGGGATGGAACTGTTGAAAGTTTGTCCTGTTTGCTTATACATTATTCTCATAGTCACTCGGGTAGTGTCTTCGATAAGTTAAAGTTGAGAATATTACCTTCTATCTTGTAGGCTCGACCTTTGCTTGCTCAAGCACTTGAGACTGAAAATTTTGAAGATATAGTAGATCCTAGGCTTGAAAAGAACTTTGTTGCGAGTGAGATGTTCCGGATGATTGAAGCAGCTGCAGCTTGTGTACGTCATTCAGGCCCAAAAAGGCCTCGTATGAGCCAGGTGATTAGTCTTATTTGCAGAGGCAGTTTATTATTCGTTTTGCTGCAATCCTAAATTTTTTGCATTGTCTGTCTGTCTTCCTGTTCCAGGTGGTTAGAGCTCTAGATTCCATGGATGAGCTGTCAGATCTGTCCAATGGAATGAAACCTGGACAAAGTGAAATTTTTGATTCAAGGGAACAATCTGCACAGATAAGAATGTTTCAAAGAATGGCCTTTGGAAGTCAAGAGTACAGTTCAGATTTCTTCAATTACTCCCAAAGCAGCTATAGAAGTTGAGTTTTCAATGGCGTATTATCAAATATTTCCCTTGTGTTCCCACCTGGTGCAAAATCCTAGCAATTCGCGCCGACAAATGGTGGTTTCTCACAATCTTCGAATGAATATACCATAACTCACTGAGAGATCTGACCTGTAATTACATTGTGTAAATCACTGTGCTATTCCTTTTTTGGTTAGCGTTGAAATCTGCTTTCTTTTTTTATTCCTTTTTGTTGTCTTTACTAGATCACACGGCAAACAATTGGTTTTGTAGCATTCTGAAATTCAACATTCTATTCATACAATGTAGATATGTTAGTCAAAAGTTCGTTTGACTTAAAATACATGCCTAACTAATCGTTGTTTGTTCTGTTCACGAGGTAGTATGGTACCAAATGCAGATAAATTCTCAAGGACGACCAATTGTTCGGTGTAGCTATTTTGACCAACCAAAGTTTGTCCCTAGAGATATTACTCAATATACAAGGCACTGACTCTTTATTATGTTAATTAATCATGTGAATGTCATTAACCTGACTTATAAAAAAAAGAGTATGATGACTTATAAAATGTTGAGCAGTCTTCTCATTAGAGAGAAATGGAGTCGGCGGAGTCACCTATGAAGAAATAAAGAAGAAGAAGAATAAGGGCTTCAGACAAGAGACTTAGGTTTGTTTGGAATTAGACTATGTTGTCTCTATTATTGACTAACGGACTTGACACGTGGAGGAATCTCGGCATTCAAGAACTTCTAATTTGAGCCGTTGGATCCTACAGAGCACATGCTGAGCATAGAAGAGAATATTTTTGGTTACACAGTTGTATTTACAAGCAATGAAATTTAGACAAGTGTACAAAATAATTTAGTTACACAGTTATAGACATAGGCAATAAGAATTAGACAACTGTATAGAGTAATTTTATTTTACAGTTTCTTTTTACAACAAATACATGTATAAATATTTGTACAGTGAGTGAAAGAAGATATAGAAAATTCTGCAAATTCCCTTCTTCAATCTTTCATGGTATCAGAGAGTAGCTCGATTCCAAGGGAATTCATCTTTCAACTTTTCTTTGTTCTTCATTTTTTGTGTTCTTCACTCTATTCCACCGTGGCACCTGAAACACCTCTCATTCCTGCACCTCAAACTTCAACTAGAAATGGAGTGACTCTTGATGATAATCACCCCTACTTCCTTCATTCATTATATGCACCTGGAATGAGCTTAGTCAATGCAGTCTTTGATGGTAGAGGGTACCAAGGATGGAAGAGATCTGTGTTGATAGCCCTTTCAGCAAAAAGCAAACTGGGCTTCATTGATGGTACATGTCCAGCTCCTGCTATTGCTTCCAAAGATTATCAACCATGGAGCAGATGCAATGACATGGTAATATCATGGTTGTTGAACTCACTGTCTAAGGACATTGGAGACAGTGTTATATACTCCAAAACTACAAAAGAACTCTGGACTGGACTGGAGCACAGATTTGGGCAGTCTAATGAAGCAAAATTGTATTACCTGCAGAAAGAGTTAGCTGGTTTAGTTCAAGGTACAAGTGACATAGCAACCTATTTCATAAAGCTTAAATGTCTATGGGATGAGTTGGATTCTCTCAACACCAATATCAAGTGCACTTGCACTTGTATCTGTGAGGGTAAGAAAGTGGTGGAAAAATCACAAGAGGATCAGAGACTTATTCAATTTCTAATGGGCTGGAATGAGGCCTATGGTCAAGCTAGGGGAACCATACTCATAATGAATCCATTACCCAACATCAACCATGCCTACTCCTTGATTCTACAAGATGAGAATCAGAAAGAGGTATATGCTTACCCTCTCATTTCAACTGATGCTTCATCCTTCATGGTAGGAAATTAGAACAATTTCCAAAATCAAGGGAACTTTTCACAAAGAAATAGGAAGTAGAAACTTCTTGGGCAGTTTCAGAAACCTGCTAATGGTTTTCAAAAATCTGGAAGTCCACCACAAATGAAATCAGTTCCCAAGGCAAGGAAAGGAAAATTCAACCCTAATGTTTCTTGTACCTACTGCAAGAAAATAGATCACTCAGTAGCAGATTGCTACAGAATCATAGGGTTTCCATATGGGTTTGAATTCACAAATGGAAAACAAGGTCAAGGACCTATCAGAGGTAATGGAGCTTTCTCAGGAGACCAAGGAGATGATCTGACCAGCAATGAAGTTATGAATCAACACCTTTCAAGGGAACAATTCTCACAGTTGGTACAACTCATTAAGCAAGTTAAGGTGACAGATGCAGTAAGCTCAAACTCAGAAATCAATGCAAATGCTGTGGCTGGTACAATTATCAAATATTCTGGTTCTTGTTTTCAGTTTACAATTCAAGCACCTGGATTATAGATTCAGGAGCTTCTGAACATATGTGTTTTGACTCAAGTGCTTTTATATCTTTATCACCTCTTCCTATTCCTCTAGACATCAACCTACCTAATTCTTTCAAAGTAACAGTTACTCATGTAGGAAGAGTTTCCATTCATTCTGATTATATTCTGGAAAATGTATTGCATGTTCCTAATTTCAGATATAATCTTATGTCTGTTAATAGGTTTTGTTTGCAATTTCATTGCATTATCTCATTCTACTCTACTCAATGTAAGTTGCATGCCCCTTTAATGAAAAGGGCTCAAGTTTTTTGTGAAGCAAAAGAGGGACTATACCTATTGGAGCCTAATCATGCTAGTTCTAGAAATAAATGTGAAGAAAATGTAGTTTCATCTTCAAAGCAGAATGTTTTCATTCATGTTTCAGTTTCTTTTCCCTTTTCTGCAAGTACAATCTCTGATGTAAATCTTTGGCATGTCAGATTAGGGCATTTGCCCTTTTCATCAATGAAACATCTCAATTTTATTTCCATTCCTTCTAATCTTGAATGTTTCTGTGATATTTGTCCTAAATCCAGACAAACTAGAAATTCTTTCCCTTTAAGTCAAATCAAATCAAAAAGTGCATTTGAATTAATTCATGTTGATACATGGGGATCTTACAAGGTTACAACTTATAATAGTTTCAGATATTTTTTAACTATTGTGGATGATTATAGCAGAGGGACATGGACCTTTCTTGTTAGCAGCAAGAGTAATGCTTTTGATGTACTAAAGAATTTTTTGACTATGGTAGAAAGGCAGTTTGGTGTTAAAATATAGAAGCTAAGGACAGACAATGCCTTTGAGCTAGGTAAAGGAACCCAACAGTCTGCTTTTCTTTCCTCTCAAGGAATTCTGCACCAAACATCTTGTGTAAACACCCCTCAACAAAATGAGATTGTTGAGAGGAAGCACAAACATCTTTTAAAAATTGCAAGAGCTCTACTTTTCCAATCAAAAGTTCCTATTGGGGAGAGTGCCTATTGACTGCTACCCATTTGATCAATCGACTGCCTTCTAAGGTTCTTAAAGGAAAGATACATTTTTCCATTTTGTTCAAACAGTCATCCTCTTATAATTCTCTCAAAAGTTTTGGATGTTTATGTTATGTATCTACTTTATCAAATAGGAGAAGTAAATTTGACCCTAGAACTAAGGCTTGTGTATTTTTGGGTTATCCTTTGGGACAAAAGGGATACAAGTTATTGGAAATAGATATAAAGAAAATTGTAGTTTCCAGAGATGTTCATTTTTATGAGGACAAATTTCCTTTTGCTTCTGCCCATGTGCCTTCAGACCTATATTTCCAATTCCTCCATCTCCAGATAGTACATATACCTCCCCTCTATTATAATCTTCTTCTATTCATGAACCAATCATGCCTCCTTCACCACTTCGTAATAGGGTCAATTCACCTTACACTTCTTCTTCACCCAGCACTCATTCACCTCACATTTATCCTTCACCTAGAGATCAGTCACCTCACACCCAGTTTTCTCCTAGCACCAGTACACCTCCACACATTGATACACCACTTCAGCCTAGGAAATAAACTAGAGAGTTAAAATGGCCAAGATATCTAAATGACTTCATCTGCAACAATGTTCATCTTATCAACCTAACTGCAAGCTGTTTTACAGAACCAGCACAACCCAGTGTTTACTCTTTTGCAGCCATATCATCTCACAATCAACATGTTATGCAATCTATTTCAGAAATCTTAGAACCCACTAGTTTTTCTCAGGCCTCTATGCATCCTGGATGGCAAAGAGCCATGAACTCAGAAATTGAGGCCTTAAAGGAAAACCACACTTGGGATGTGGTTCCCTTACCAAATGGAAAAAGGTCCTTACCTTGTAAGTAGGTATACAAGGTGAAGCACAATTCTGATGGAAGCATAGAGAGACTAAAGGCCAGGTTGGTGGTGAGGTAAGACATACAAAGAGAAGGGATAGATTATACTAAAACTTTTTCTCTCGTGGTCAAAATGACCACCATACGTTGCTTACTGGCAGTGGCAGCTAAGAAAGCTTGGCCAATTTATCAACTAGATGTAAGTAATGCATTCTTACATGGTGATTTACAGGAAGAAGTCTATATGAGATTTCCAGCTGGTTTATCTCCTCCCAGTCCCAACCATATTTGTTTACTAAGGAAGTTTTTATATGGTTTAAAGCAAGCTTCGCGGCAGTAGTATGCTCGGCTTGCTGGTGCTCTAAGTTTCAAAGGTTATTCTTCTTCAATGAATGACTATTCATTATTTTTAAAAGACAAGCATGTTTGGTTTCTATTGTTGCCGTCTATGTCGATGACATTCTTATTAGTGGAGATGATTCAGATGAAATTTCAACACTCAAATTGTTTCTTAATACACAGTTTAAGGTAAAAGACCTAGGAAATTTGCATTACTTCCTAGGAATAGAAATACTGAGGGGAAAGTAGGGGATAATTATGTGTCAAAAAAAATTTACCTTGGACCTGATCAAAGAGTTTGATATCCCTGAATACTCTTGTGTTTCTTCTCCACTTGAACCTTCTTCAAAATTACGAGCAGATGAAGGGGAACTTCTCCTCAATTCAACCATATATCGTCACCTAGTTGGGAAGCTCAATTACTTAACACACACAAGGCCTGACCTGTCTTTTACAGTTTTGAAGCTCAGCCAATTTATGCAAAACCAAAGAACTTCCCATTTTATTGCAGCTCTTCGAGTATTGTGTTACTTGCGTTCTGATCCAGGACAAGGGATCATTCTAAATACTACTCCGTCCCTCAAATTGGTTGATTTTTGCGATGCAGACTGGGCCTTTTGTCCTGAAACTCGTAGGTCTGTTAGCGAATTTTACATCGTACTTGGTGGTTCACCCATATATTGGAAATCCAAGAAACATGCATCT